AACATCTCAACAAAAGACATTAGCAACACTAAAATAGCTGTTTTTATAAAATTGAGATTTAGAGATGAGCTATCTATAACTGAATACAGTAATTGCATGGTATTTAAAAAAAAAGTTGTTTTTTTTATTTACCAAAATGCATAGGCCACACTTTTCTTACATGCTGTTAAAGGAAGATGACAATTAGCTTTTCTAATACTCAAATATGGCTCTGCAGAACAGAACATTGTTAACAATTAAAAATGATGATTAGGAAACACTATTCCATTTTAGAATATTTAAAAATGTGGCCTCTCTGTGGTATGTATTTTTATACTATATTTTAAGGTCTCAAGTAATAGAAAAATCATGCAAAGGTAATACAAGCAATAGGAAACATGCAGTTCTATTTTAACTCAGCAATTCACACCAAATTCCTTAACTGCACTAAGAATGAATTCAGGAAAATAAATACCCAAGGAGGAATATGGATTTAATTGTTATTGCTATTACATTGCTAAAATAAAACAGCTGTGATCACACTCTCAGATAAAGCCATTGTTCAACAAATATTTTTATTAAACATCTCTGTAGTGAAGATGAGTCCAGCTCCCCAAGAGCAGAGCAGACTGCTTCCTGGACCACCCATTGCTCCCTAGGTAAAACATTTCATCCAGCTGTTGGGAGGCGGAGGGAACTTGATCAGACACTATGGCAGTTACGGAGCAACTTGTGTTTGCTCACTGACATATTAAACTACAACAACTGTATTTTAACATTCAAGCAAATGAATCACAATCTTTTTTTCAAACAACTAATTTGATCACTAGCTAATGACAGCAATGGTGTTTCTTAAATGGCACTTTCCCAAAAATAACAACAATCTCTGCAGCACACAGGAGAGAAGTCTCAGAAAACTAAGGTCAGCTGATTACAGCAGGCAAGGGGGGGAAAGAAGGCACATAGGCAGGTCAGAGGTACAACAGGAGCAGTCAGGAAAATAAATGGCCACGGTCATACAGCAAATAAACTGTGTGTCAGAGCTATGAATAAAATCCAGAAGTCCTGATTCCTTGCCTCTCTGCTATTGCCCCAGTCCTAATCAGGTCCTCTCTCAAAAGGAGTTTCCAACACAGAGTCCAGGAGAGGGAAACATTTTTCCTATCTACAAAACAAATGTAGCAAAAGATTAATACAGGTTTGCTTCACACAGACCACCATTTAAGTTATGGCCAGAAAGATTTTGTTAATAAACACTGTACATTTCCTCCAGGTCAGCAATCAGAATGTCTTGAGTCTGCAGAATTTGTCATTCATCTATTTAAGAATTCGTGTCAGGGTATATTCAAGTATTATTCAAAGTTAAATCTGAGTCACCTTTCACAGGGATGTTTCCTTCAAGTTCTACCATCAGTCAGCCTGTGTTTGCTAAATGTTGGGGGTACTAGGTGAGTTGTGAAAGCAGAAGACCTTTCCAAGCACAACATTTATAAATACCCAGTGTTGGTCAAGACTTAGATCACTTTTCTGTTTCATTCAAATAATAAAAATCTCTTCTTCAGACCAGAGAGAAAACAGCCAAGGTAAGTATGAAGGTTCACACTCAGGAAATTTCCTATGTAAAGAATGACATAATCTACAGGAGTAGATATGATAAAGACTTAAAATTGTGAAATTGTTTCTAATTGTATATATGCACTATTTACCACAGGATGTGCTGTGCATTATTTCCAAGCAGCTTTTTAACAAACCAGTTAAGCAGTTAGTCTTGTCTAAGACTTAAAAGTACCAAACAAAGAACAGATTTAGGTTGGGCTCCAAATTACTGAAGTCAAGCCATTTCAAAGTTTATTAATCAGGTTTCCTAATAACACATCAGTCAATGAATACAAGTGCTCAGTTTTAATTTAACGCTTTATCAGCCACATGGAACATGGAGCTCATGGGTCAGGTCTTCAGTGGTGCAAACCAGCAGAGTTTTCCTGTAATCCATCATCATACAAGTTCAGAACTGTTCTGAATATTTAAGACGCCTGGTTTAAATAACTGATTGTATTTGTATTTTGGTGAGAGATCTGTATGCTTATTAATTGAACACAATGTTTCTTAGTCTAGAAAGCTTTCTTTATAATTCAGGTTTTTCTTCCCGTTTGGCAAACACTGTCTTCCATGGTAGAGGCTTCCCTCTGGTGGACACTTCATCTGACGTTTTATTTGTAAGGTTTCAGTAGCTTAAAGAAACAGTTGTACAATACATCTGATGTTGTGTATTTGCTTTCTGATTTAAAATAATTAAAAATAAATGCCTGACCAGACTTAATTACTGCTTATAAAATGTTTCTTGAGGAACTTTAAAATTACTGCAGCAGTGTCAAGACCAGTTACTTCAAACTCTAGTACAATGTAAAACTGTTTAATAAACTTAAGTATGTAAGCAGTAAAAATCACATCCTGAAAAAAATAATTACTGATTCAGTAGTTCAGGGAAGAGATACAAGGACAAGAGCAGTGTTGTTCTGTATTGACTGGCTGCTTGCTTACTCAGCTATCAGTGCTCATCTAAATAATCTCCAGGATGTTTGCATGGGCTACTCTTACTGGGTCTTTCAGTACCCTGTTATCTATAGGGGGGGCAATGGACTGATGCCCGACTTACTTGGTGCACTGGTTTCTTCAAAACATTTAACTTTAAAAAGATGTACTTGGGGCTCCTATATGGAACAAATACATACACACTTTACTTTTTAATTCTTCCCTATGGGAGCATGAACACATAACTCACAACTGAGAAACTAAGGATGCCAACTGGCTACATTCTATTTTCCTTATTCAGCAATGACAAACGGCTGTTTTAGCATGAACCTTTCACCTGTGCATTTTTCTTTCTTCAGAAGGTAACAATAAAAACATCCATTGTAGCACTAACTTTCACAATGCAAATATCAGTCCACTAGTAAGTGAGAACTAACACATTTACTGGATTTTCAAGTACTTCTCAGGTGATAGTGGTACGTAGTTACTATTACGGTTCCATGGAATTTACTGAGAATCCTACATTCATTCACACAAATATGATCTGGAATGTAGTTTTCTGAGTTTCAGATGGAGTAAGCAGAGGCTTCTTGAACCAGCTTAAAGTCTAATGAAAGAGTATGTTTTCCCCAACACTAATCTTTTGCATTCCAAGTCTCTCAGAGTTCCAAAATATACTTCTTTTTTTTTTTTTTTTCCCCCAAATAGGCCATTGACCTGACTATTTCTCATTAACCCTTTCATAAGGTGTTTGAGGCCATGTGGTCTCAATAAATTATTAAAGGAGAATCAACAAATGTGAAGCCTGTACCTGTCTTTTTTCCTGTAAATAACTAGGAAAAAAAAAAGAAATTATTTAAATCCTAGAACCAGTCATATAAAGCTGTAGGTGTGATACATGGGCAATCAGTATGAGTGATACTGCAGCACAGTATTCTGTCATGGCATCCTCCTCACAGGGCTCTCTAGAGCACCACCCTCTTTTCAGAACAGCTAAATTACACTGGGTTGAAAAACTCAGGAGAGGGGAAACAAACTAGCGTAGGAGTCTTCTCTTTTTCTTTCTCATGCTTTATCTACAGCACTTGTAAGTTATAACTTCACAAGAGCTCCTCACCAGTCTTGCTGTTCACCTTCATTTGGGCAACTGAGAATGAGGAAGGGAGAGTATCTCTGTGCAAACAACCACCACCACTGTTTGCATACCTGGTTTTTTGTTACTGTTTCCTTTCAAAGGAGGACTTTGTTGAGGAAATTCTCTATGTTTTTGAACAAAAGTTACTACCGACTGGAAAGCAATGCCTTACACTAGGAATTAGAAAAGCAAGGCTTCTCACAAGATAACTAGTTCAGCTATGTAAGGTAAAGACCATGATACAGAATTAATAGAAGGAAGGTATTGCTAACTCCATAAAATAGGGGCCAAGTAGCCTCAAAGTGTGAAGAGTTCCCAAATACTATTACTATTTAACGTATCACTGAAAGCTGCGGGTATGCCCATCAATCCACTTGGAAGCGGATGAATTTCTGCTTTGTCCCAAGTGTTATCAGCCACAATCTGAAGAGCACCCGCAAAATTACAAAGAAAAAAAGACAAATCTTCTTTCATTAATATGCCCTCTCCCCAAGAAAACACTCAACTAGTTGAATTAACAAAATGCATCCAATCTGGTAAAAAAATTCTGTAAAATGTCATATGCAAGCTGGCTTTATCTCATTTTGTTAGTGGGATTAATTTTTAGAAATTTAAGACTTTCATGTTAATCCCAAATAACAGTGCAGTTAAACATGTACACTAAAATACTCAGATTACAGTGAATGTCAACATGACTTCATTTTAAATGATGCAGAGCATGTTACTGGAACTATCACCCCCTCGTTTTATGGAACAATGACCTGCAAGAATGTCAGACAGGGCTCACCATATCTCAACAGATACAGACCTCTGCTTCAAGTCATCCTTAAAAATATGGCTTGTTTATTCAAAACTTTTTTTTTTTTTTACAGCCAGTCATCACAATAATTTTTAAAAGACCCAAACTTTATCACAACAATAGATGTGCAAACATTGTGTAAGAAAGTGGTAAATAAAGTTACCTTCAACACACACACCCACCCACACACCCCCCACCCCTACAACCAATACCTGATTTGTGTTTTCAATGAAAAGCTCACTACCCTACCTAGTCCTTCCCCCTAATTTGATTCATATGCTTCCTTTTTGCATCTCCCTCATTCCCCATTTCTTTACTCTGATTGGTTGCAGCAGGGCTAATGCCTATTTTATTTCTGGTTAATCTGATTAAGTAAGAACTTGGGATTGTGATGTCAGTGCATTAGTAAAAGGAAATAATTCCTCGTGTAGGAAGGATGGCAATTTTGACCTTTTAAAGGCAGGTCATGATCTGACTGCAAGATGAAAATAGAGCACGACAAACTGCAGTAATAATACCAACTCACTCTCTGATAGCATAGTACAAAGTAAGATTATGGCTCATGGACTGCAGGTAAGAAAGCATAATGCACTTATGTTTGGTTATTTGATTGAAGGGAGCTTAGGGTGTGGGTTTAACCAAAAATAGTAGAACATTAGAGGTACTGAGCAATGAAAGGCCTTGTTTCTTATATTTACTTAGGAGAAAAACTGGCTTTCAGAACACAGGCATCTTAATAGCCTCAATCCTTTTACAACTTACAATGTTATCTAGTATTATTTTAATGTGTCTATATTAATTTTCTTTCATTCTAGGTTGATGAAATAATGCTTATTTATTAATCTCTTTATTGCACATATTTGCTGTAGTTAATTTTGTTGGTTTCCCCCCTTTAAATCCAGAAACCTACATCAGTAAATTAATAACAAATGAGACTGAACCTAAATTAAATAACTGATTCTTTAAGTTTCAAGCTCATAATTTCATGATCTTTTGTGACAGTTTAGTAGATTGCTTCGATGGGATGCTGCTGTATTATCATGTGCCACAATGCAACTGTTTTTATGAACCTGTAAGTTACATGCAGCATGTTGCTATGGTGATGTGGTGCTCAAACTGATGCAATCCTTAAGGTTCTGTTCATGAACCTCTCAGAAGACCTTAAAAATTATTCACACAGAGCAACAATGATGATATTAATGTAACAGATGTTTACATAAAATAGCCTCAATGAGCATAGTTATTAACCAAATAAAGAGTACTAAACTGAGCTGTTGAAGTAGCTATAAGCAGTAATAACTATGCACACCTGTATGCTTCAAGATTAGCTTTATTCAACAGTTACATTAATATGGACAAAACTCTTCCTTTACTTGAGCTGAACCAGTTGTGATGCTTCTCATCAAATGCAGCAGGAAACTAATTTAATTGGCACCACAGCTGAACTTTAACCTGCTCAGCAGATGAAAGCCCAAATTATAACTGCAAAAGCAAACTGTAAGGCTGAAGTCTATCAAATCTGGAAATCAGTTCTGTGATTAGGCAAAAGAAAATCTGCTCAAGTCACAGGTTGTATAGTCATTGCACTTCAGTTGCAGCTATGCAGAATGCAATAGGGATGGAGATCTTGTAGGGGGGAACAAACCCCCAAACAAAACAAACAACCTACCCTTCAGCTATTTTTCAACTGTTTATCATGTCAGTGACTATCCTTATTTGCGCTTTTTCTGTATTACAAATGAAAATTATGCTTATATGTTCCAGCAGTCTCAAATAAATAGTCATTTCATTTTGACCAATGATTCTAACTACGTCCTATAATCACTGCTGCATGTTGACAGAATCCCGTACCCTGTATATGTAGTCTGTCTGTCACCAATAGCAACCTCACACAGGCAGAAATTAGACCATTTTAAACTGGCCAGCTGGGTTAATAAAACACTCAAACAACAATAAGCAGTTCTGCACTGCATTAAATTCTGCTCATAGATTCTACTGTCTAGCCTTATCTGCCGCAGATACCAGGGTAACTGACACTATCTCTTCCAAGATTAACAAAGCACAAACAATTTTAAAACAATCCTTCACCTAAGCTTTCACTTTGCTGATTTCAGCCACAAACAAAATAGTAACTAAACCAGGCAAAATAGTACTGCTGACACAACAGTGTTGAACTCCAAGGCTACTTTCTAAGTCTAACTTGGAACATCAAAGCCTATCAATTTTGAATGCTTGTAGAATACAGTTAATTCAGCCTGGATAAGATTCTGTATGTCTTCTTTTATTCTATGATAATCTATTCATTGAAATTCTTATTAACACCTTTCAGTAGTTTTACCTTTAAATGGAGTGGGCTATTTGTGGCTAATTGCAAATAAACAGCAGTAATTGGTTATTTCATTTCTGTAGCTGCTGTGAGTTTTGGAAGTTATAACTTCTGTCTCCCACAGTCCTTTTTTTCCCCTCTTCCTAAGCAGTCATCTGTCCTATGCCAAAAAAAAAAAAGGAGAATTAAAAACAATCTGTCTAAATATTTTGCAAGTGTTAATTCATTTGTTAACAATGCTTTATGCTATTATTGCCTAGTTCCTAGCTCTGTGCTGTTCGTTAGCAAGCTACCAAATTCTTGGTTTTGAGACCTGTTTAGCAAAAGCTAAATCAGGAGTGTTACACATGTCAAGCCTGAGGAGGGAAAAAGCTTTACAGTCTCTGCAAGAACACTGAGTAAAACCACTTAATTAAACTTTGCCTTCTACTCAGGTATTTGTCAACTTTGCTGCTCAATAAACAGGCTATATGTCATTATAAGCATACTGTCCACCAAAGAAATCAGCACAAAGCACCACTCTTACACTTTTAGTTTTACTGTATCAGCTTCTGCAGAAAGCAACTGGTGTGTATTTAATTTACTTTGCCCCAGGGAAGCTTTGAGCCAGATTTGAATTTTTCTATCAATTAGTTCTAGGTTGTCTTCTTTAACAACAAGACGGCAATATTAGATATGACAAAAACTCTCTTACTCAATTTTTTTTTTTTTTGGTAATAATTACAGATTGGCCCCCTTATTCACAATAGTTTCTACCTAATTACATTTTTTTTTTCTTACCCGCTTTTGTACCTCCACTTCACGAACTAACAAATGGTCCTGAAGAGTGGTAGAATCTGAAGGCACAGACCTGTTTGGCATCAACAGACTAGTAAGAAAAGAAGACCAAATGGAGAATGTGTAACTTCTCAACACCCAGACACCTCCAGGAGCAACAGCCTGGAGCCAGTATATTGAAAAGAAACTATAATTCTAAATCCCAATCTCTTTGTCTTAAATTTAATTTTTGTTTGTTTGCTATACAAGCAAGCTACTGTGTTCTGCAGAAGGAGAAATGGAGAATACAAAGGGGAAATGGAGAATACAAAGGGGAAAGAGGGTTGTTGTCAGTTTTGAGTTTTCTTAGGAATTGATGATGGTTGAGAATTTATCTTATGATGACCAGGGCAAAGTAGTTATCTATCCATTCACTTCTCAGACAAATTGTGAACTCAGAAAGTTCAAAAACACTTAGATGTATTTTTATTTTTACATATTATTGTGGGCAGGAGTCTTTCTCTGCATTGGCAGAGACTGGAAGGTTTTTTTTCCCGTGTGGCTCTGTCTTTACTCTTAGAGCTATTTCTCTTTCACTTACAGATAAGAGATGAAGAAAGTGGCTACAACAAAAATCTATTTTGCATTCCTAAGCATTATGAAGAAGATTTAGAAAGAGTCTTCATTCCTCATGGGCTCATCCTGGACAGGTATGAGGGTAATCAACATAGAGTAGTGATAGTGATGCCAGTGATCCATTTCCCTCCAAATGAAAAGACCTATGCCCTACCCTACATAACCCATGAGAAATATGGAAACCCTGCAGCTATAACACTTGTGTTCTGGAGTTCAGTACAAGAGGAGTTTTATGGAGAGGATTCCTCTACAACCCCAGTTAAGTTTCCATGTTATCTCAAGTATCTTTAAGCTGTCCTATCCTGCATTGTTTAGACACATGGATTAAATCAACAGTACGTCAAGTGAAGTAGACATCATCCTGTGAACTGCAAATATGTAACTAATTTTCCTATGTCTTAATGTCACAATTTGCTGGTTATAAAAGCCTAACAGCAAGATCAGAATTTTATCTTAGACATGGCTCAATATATGGACAAACAAATACAAGATACAAAACATTTTACAGGATTGTTTGTTGGTGTGTTTTTCTGTTTGTGTGTCGTTTTGTTTTGTTTCCAGGACAGAACGTTTGGCTAGAGATATCATGCAAGATATGGGAAGCCATCACATTGTTGCACTCTGTGTCCTTAAAGGAGGCTATAAATTCTTTGCTGATTTGCTGGACCATATAAAAGCACTAAACCAAAATGGTGATAAATCTGTACCTATCACTGTGGATTTTGTTAGAATAAAAAGCTACAGTGTAAGTAACTTTTATTTGGAAAATTGACTCTCCCCATAGGTTAATAGCCTGAATGCTGGTACTATACATGAAAACTCCACAAAAAATGAGGTTATGCAAATATCCTGTTCAAAGCAATTGATTCACCAATCTGCCCCAACAATCAAATGGATAGCAGATAGACACTTAACGTGACAAAGCCAAATTTAGGTCTCCAACAACCTTCTCTCCAGCCCAAAGCATCCATACAGGTTCTACTCTGCCTTTACTGTGGCAAACTTCAGTGGGAGTGAGTACGAATGGTAGCTTAGCATTGGAGATTTGCTATTGTCTCTCTCTGCATTATTTCCTATTATTATTTCCTATTATTATTTCCTATTATTATTTCCTATTATTATTTCCTATTATTATTTCCTATTATTATTTCCTATTATTATTTCCTATTATTCCTATGGATAATAACGGAGAGATTTGTTTCCATAATCTGTACGTTGGGGAACAGGTATCTTTTGGCCAAACCAACCTTAGTTGGCCTGAATCAACTGCTATAAAGCAATTAATTCTGATACCTTTTTCTGTTTTATCTTCTCCACTCTTTGAAAGCTAGAGCTCTGTGCACTGATCAAAATCTACCCCACAGTAAATATAAAAGTTATAATTTTCCTATAATTTTTATATTTCCTATAATTTTTAGTGGAATTCTAAATCAATCCTGTGGTAACAAAAATAGCTGAGCACAACCAGCCCAAAGCATCCATACAGGTCCTACACCCTCTTTACTGTCGCAAACTACAGTGGCAGTGTGTACTAAGGGTAGCTTAGCATTGGAGATTTGCTATTGTCTTTCTCTGCATTATTTCCTATTATTATTTCCTATTATTATTTCCTATTATTATTTCCTATTATTATTTCCTATTATTATTTCCTATTATTATTTCCTATTATTCCTATGGATAATAACGGAGAGATTTGTTTCCATAATCTGTACGTTGGGGAACAGGTATCTTTTGGCCAAACCAACCTTAGTTGGCCTGAATCAACTGCTATAAAGCAATTAATTCTGATACCTTTTTCTGTTTTATCTTCTCCACTCTTTGAAAGCTAGAGCTCTGTGCACTGATCAAAATCTACCCCACAGTAAATATAAAAGTTATAATTTTCCTATAATTTTTATATTTCCTATAATTTTTAGTGGAATTCTAAATCAATCCTGTGGTAACAAAAATAGCTGAGCACAACAGTGTCTGTTCCATGAATATGGTTGTACTCCCATTTCATGCAAAGACCTGACTCCATTGATACTTCACTCTCTCCTCTTGCTCTCAGCTACTTAAAACCTCTGTTACTGAAGAAGTGCCGTATAAACTTGTGTCATTTACTGGGCAAAAAGCAAGAGAAGCAGATGACTCATACACATACAATATAACAATTTTGAGCATGTTTTATGTGAATTCCCTCTCTTCTTTCTCCTTCTAGAATGATTCACCTACAGAAAAAATCAGTATTGTTGGTGAGGAATTGTCTACACTAAATGGGAAGGTATGACTTAGCATCTTCAGCTTTTAAGGAGAAAGGACAGTTTCTGTGTTTACTCTTTCAGGAAGTCCACCTTTAAGATTTTGATACTACGTATTTTCAGCCACTTAACACTGATTTAACATTCCGTGCTTTGAAACAGTAATTCCCATGGATCTCAGCAGAAACTTAACACGATCAGTACTGAAAGCTTCTAAAGATCCTATTCCACATTTTATCTCTCAGCTCCCAGAAATGAACCATCTTAAATTGTCTCATGTAATACGGCTTTAGTATGCTATTGTTATACATAGAATAATATGTAAAACCTGACATAGATGGTTTTCTTACATTTTATGCTTCCATAAATACTCACAGTAAGACTCTCAGAAAGCACTAGAATAAAGTAAGCGGTCAAGCGACAAGCTCCTTCGAAAATTGCTTGAAACTCGCTTGTAGCTGAAGTTTGTAGTGGAAACTTTTCCTGGCTGTGTAATTCACTGAATGTTGTAATGTAAATATTTTCTTTTCTTTCTCTCCCTATGTGATCTTTTCCAGAATGTGTTAGTAGTAGAGGTAAGTAAAGTCTGGAGCGTGGGGGAGGGACTAACATGGACAACTTTCTCCCCATTTTGCAAGTTAATACCTTTTACATATAAAACAATTAAGTCAGTGTTCTACCAGCGTTGCTGACTAGTTTTTATACTTTAAATTAATCCACTGACAGTCTGGCTTTTCATTCAGACTCGGAGGATTTTTAATTTTATTTTTTTTTCCAGGACATTATTGAGACTGGTAGAACAATGAAAGCGTTACTTTCAAAACTGAAAGACAACGAACCAAAGATGGTAAAAGTTGTAAGGTACAATGATATGGCCACATACTAACGTACTGATTTGAGAAGATACAGCAACATTACTTAGGTGAATAGTCAGTGTATGTGGGTGGATGTTTTTGTTGGAAGTTTGGAGAAAGAGGAAGTAAAAGCAGCATGCAATCCTTACCCAGCTGGTAGAAAACTAAGTATTTCTTTAAACGGGAGACTTACATATGCACAAGCACCTTTGTTGTTGAAATGAATAATAAAAATACCCTGGGTCTTTCTGCATAGTCCATAGAGTCTCATGGATTCCCTGTTTCTTATCTCCTTAAGTTTGAAGGAAATGTAGATCTTTGCATAGGTTTCCTAGCACCTTCTTAGTTGCCTCAGTACTAGAATGAAAATACTTGGAATTTTTCTTAATATCCTTAGTCATATAGGTTTTCAGACTCTAACACTTCGTCAGGACTTGAGAGATTACTCAAAGTGGAAGTTTAGACATGTTTTAGATGATCTCTCAAACAATGTTTTGGGATGTCCTTCTCTCTGTCAAGTAACCACAATGCTTTAAAAAAACACTTATTGCTGCATGCAGCAGTTATGCTTCTCCTAGTGAGTGTTCCACTCAGTTTCTTCAGAAGTGCACAGGAAAAGCAAGTAATGGGTATGACTGTGGAAGAAATCATAGTGACATTGCACAGCTTGTTCTCTTCCTCCTCCCTCCTTGCTAAAATCTTTACATGCCACTTGAACTTGCTCACTTGTCTGTGCTATTCCAGTTTGCTGATACACTGCTACACGAAAATGCCATGATTTGGGACACAGAATTGACAAGAACTAAATGTAAAGTAATAGTCATTTGGACCTTCAGAATGAACCTAGATCAGAGCCTTTGCTTCTTCCTCAATTATAAGGCTGAACACTCTACCTTTTTATTACAATCTCATTTTTTAGATTTAGCTACATGATTGTGGAAGCTTATGGAGAAGGGTGAGTGAAGTACAAAGCTTAGAGCAAGACATATTTGTAAAACATAACCTTCCCTGCTTTGCCTTACAGCCTGCTTGTAAAAACGACTCATCGAACTCCAGGCTACAGACCAGACTGTAAGCATAGTGTTTTTCTGGTTGTCCAAAATACAATCTCATCATTTCACTTCCCACATTAAGTCTGAAAACCCACATAAGTTTCAGGAAGGCCAAACAAAATGGAGGAAAATGCATATAAACTTTTAAACTGGCTACCGGCTATGCCATGCTGAAACCTCATTACCACTTTAGGTAGTACTCTTAATTAGCTGAAGCATTTGTATTGAATACAAACTGTGTATTTAAAAGCTATTTGCACCACCCAGGTATAAAAATAATTGTATTTTGTTACAGATATAGGCTTTGAAATTCCAGATAAATTTGTGGTTGGCTATGCTCTTGATTATAACGAATACTTCAGAGATTTAAATGTAAGTACATACATGTGTGCTTCCACTGTTATATATATGATGGTTACCATGGGGAAACAGCAAGAATATTATACTAGAGTTTCTCAACAATTAAAAAAAAAAAATAAAAAATCTGTCGAAACTTGCATTAAAAAGGCAAAAACATTATTCATGTGCCAAGGTGGTACATTTATATTGAGGTATAAGAATTTATTTATGCTTTACCTTTCTCTGAATCTACTTCACAAGCCTCATGGTGCAGCCATGCTGTGCGGTGTTCTGAATCCTCCAAGATGGCTGGCAGCATATGAACTGCTGGCCCCATCTGAAAAAAAAGTAACTTGTAATTTGGCTTCCATTTCCTGTTTGTCTGTCTTCATGAAATCCTATGTTGCTCTTTTCTAGTTAAGTCTTTAAGACGGCTGTGTGTGAAGGTCTTTCCTACACTGTATAACATGTCCATCAAGATCTTTTTTCCTTTGTTATATTCTAGTCTCTTTGGGCTGCACTGACTAGTAGTCTTGGAAAGAGCAAAACTGGTAGAAACAGATGATTTTAAATTTTTTTTTTCCCTCCTGAGTTTTCAAAAGCACTTTTAAAAATCTGGTTTAGTGGAAAAGTTTTCCCCTTGAAAGTCTTTAATAAGACAAACTAGTTGTATTAAAGATTCAAAATGGATATATGCTATTGCAAAGCAGTATGAGGAAGGATGAGATAATTGGACAAATGTGACCTCTTCAGAATACACAAAGCTGTGAGTTGCAGATGAGCTTGGAAGTAACATTAACATCTGAATTTTACCGTAGGTAGTAAACTTGCAACCAAACTTGCAAAGTTTACTGTTCTGGCGTTTTCCTTACAATTCTAGGAATGTGACTGAAAATCATTCTTGCATATTTTTTTTTAAGGTAAAGATTGACTGAAGTTGTACTGTTTTGTTTGTTTGTTTGTTTTTTTAATTATTAGCACATCTGCATTCTGAAAGAGAAAGCCAAAGAGAAATATAGGATCTGATAACATCTATTTTCTGGAACAACAGTTCAAGGGCTTGTACGTCTGTGTGGATGAATAAGTAATCTACAACTTGTGCTCTTCACTGGCAAACTACAGCATTTTCTAAAGATACTACTCTATTTTTATTTTTTCCTATAGTATGTAAAACAGCTTAAAGGTGAATGAGTTCTATTCAAGCATCAGTTAAACCAGAACAGAACACTTACCATAAAATGTTATCATATTCTGCTGGAATCACAGGGGACAACACCCAGAACATGTACATGTAACTGTATCTGATTTTTAATCTCCTCTATGAAGTAACACATTGTGTAATTGTCTTCAAGCTTCAGTTATTTTTACACAAGCTTGTGTATGTAAATATATACATATGTACTTCATGTAACATATAGGCTAAATAAGCATTTAAGAACTTGAGGGTTTTAAAGTCAACTGTATTAAGTGCTTACCATATGGAAAACACTTGGAAAACTTTGGTTCTTTAGCTCAATGCAATGGAAAAAAAAAAAGTAAACATTATGGTAACTACACTGCAGTTAGGTTTTATGCTGTCACCTTTTTGAGGGAAGGGATTGCATATGACTTATACCATTGTGGTGTTACTTGAAATGTAGGTAATGCTGATTAAGACTGGATGAGAAACCATTAGACCAGGAAATTACTTCTGCTGGTTCTGTGTCCCTAATGAGAAGTGGAACTTAAATTTTACTGCCCAGAAATTGCATCAGGTTTCAGGCAGTCCCTGCCACCTGTTTCCTACCTGTTCAAAGTGATTAAAATAAGCTGTTTTTTTTCCTCTTGTGAATTAACTGAGTTAAGAGTCTATTTTCAAGTGGGGCTGTTGATGTCCTTCAGCGTTTAAGAGGCCTGAACAAAAACAGGTGCTGGGGCTTTCACAAGGGTGCAGTGGTGCTTTCCAGAGCCCCCTGAGAGCTAGGGGCTGTTATTTGTCATGCCATCCGCCCTTCAAAGCGCCTGAGAGGGACACTAGTGCCTGTGTGAACAGACCCCTTACCTAAAGCAGCAGGAACGGCTTCCACAGCAGCCCAGGGCCGCCCGCTCGCTGCCGCCCCCTCAGCACGGGCCGCGCCTCGGCGGAGCGCGACACCAAACCGGGTTTCTGGTTTTCTCAGCTACAGCAATGACTGCTGACACCTAACACCGCCCTTCTC